GTGCACGGCCACGGTATCTGCCACCAAGATAGATCGATGTGGTCCCACCCCATTTCCGACCCCAGCCCCCTTACCTGCCAGATCTGTAACCACGAGGCTCAAATTCTTGAGGAGTATCACGCACACATACGCGAGCACATAGCAGGGCCAGAGTCGATCAGAGCAGCACGGGGGGAAGGAGCACATGTCGCACGGGGGCCACGGCGATTGGCGCATCAGAGCCAGCACGAAGAGAGGTGGGGGCGCAGCCGAAGGGCAGCGACCAGCACAGCGCCCACACCTCGGCGGAGGCGGAGTCGGCTCGTCAGGCACGCAGCAGTCGCAGCAGACGCCGCAGCAGCCGCCCCCCACACAGCGCCGAGGAGGAGGCGGTCGAGGACCCCCAGGAGGAGGCCGAGGTGGTGGAGGAGGCGGCCAGGTGGAGCTTCGGGACCAGCTGAGATCGCTCCAGAGGCTCACCCTCCAGAGCTCGAACGAGATCCGCAATTTTCTGCATCTCACGGGAGAGTTCTGGCTGACGCCGCTCGAGCCAGAATGGGTGCAGGCGCCGATGGAGACAGGCAGAGAGTACGGACGGAAGGTGAAGCAGCTGGGCAAGGGGCACGGCCTCGGCCCACCGCATGGCCAAGTGGCGGCGAGCCTGGTCGAGGAGATCGTGGCGGTGCTCGACTCGGAGGAGCAGAATCTCGACGCGTCCCTCCTCCACGTGAGGCAGCTCCTGAAAGAGTTCATGAGCCAGCTCGACGAACCCTGGGGGCCAATCTTCATCACGGAGGTCTTCTTGCAGCGCAAGATCCAGGAGGCGTACAACGAGACGGGCGAGGACGTGGAGATGGACATCAAGCAGTGCAAGGCCAAGCTCATCTACACGATCAACACAGCGCCGAGCTTCAGGGCGGTGCTGTACGACCAGAAGCTCGAGCAGGGGCAGTACGACAAGATCTCGGGCTTCAAGGGGGACGTATTCAAGCAGGCACTGGGCCACGCGCTGGCGCACCTCGGGGCCACGAAGAGCCGTTCAGGGGGCCCGAAGACGGGCCTGGAGAGGGCCGTGGAGGCGCAGCTCAACAGGAGGTGAGCCAAGGCACGCCCCAGCCTAAGCCCAGCAGCTTGCCCCGCCGCGAGCGAGAGAGCCCCGCGGGCCAGTTCTTACCAGGCCCGCAGCCCGGCGGAGCCAGCAGCTCGTTGTCGAGCAGCGCTTTCGAGCCAAGCCTCAACTCTACGGGGCGCCCTCGTGCCTGGCCACCATCATCACCGCCAGTGAGCCGAGAGGAAACAATTGCACAGCAGATCAGTGCAGACCTTGTTCGCATGACGAGTCTCAGGAGCCAGGCCGAACAACGCGGAGGCCAGATGGCCTACCTATATCGGATGGCTACATACTATCGGGACCTACGACCAAGGGACTATTACCAGCCTATGGCAAAAAATGAGGGGGACGGCAGACCTTCTAGTTATTCAGCCGTCACCCTACCATTACACGGGCTCCCACCACCTACGCCCCCTCCTCCCACCAACTCCCACTTCCAACCTACCATCTCTTTCTCAGGCAATCAGCTCTCTACTAGTTCCACTTGCAGTCGGGGCTTGTCTGTCATGCAGTATCGCGGATGCACGCTCGGAGCCGACGTATCTGCGACCTCGTACCGGACAGCATGCAGAACGACAGTACATGCTACAGGGTACACACCGCGTACTATGACAGCATACACAGGGAACTACCACACCACAACATCCAGCACAGCCATGCGATTGTGATCCGACCACGGTTCGACCTCTCCTCCCCCGCTCAGATACATCCAGCCTTCGTCCGCTTTAGTTATCACAGCTGTTACCTTTCTCGACCTCCAGAGGATAGAGTGAGTAAGAATTGCACACTAAGGACAGGCACAGGATTCCGACTGCAGCGAACGACCGAGCCTACGCCTACTCTCACACCAAGGTACTACTACGGTTCCTTACGGCCCAACTACTGGGAACTAAGGAAACTACTACAATATCTAAGGTGTACAACAGTAGGCTGGAACCACTAAGGTAAACGAGGATCAGTACACAGCTCGACATACTACCAGAGGACATTTGCGACTCGAGCATCTTCGCGGCCTCTCTATCCATTGCTGGCGGATACCCCGCCCACGTTCAGAGCCCGCGCCCCGAGGGCGCACGACCAGAGCTGCGATGGCGGCGCAGGCGCACTTGGAGAAGGGGGAGATGGCGCAGCAGCCAGCTGCAGACGAAGCCGAGCTTCTGCAGCCAACGATAGTGCAGAAGCCGCACGACAGAGGAGGCTCGGGAGGAGCGGCGGATCAAGTCGTGGGCACGGCGGCGTACAGGCTGGAGATCGCGCACAACACACTCCAGAGCACCGCCGTCGCGTTCAAGGTGGCGACCGAGCACAGCGAGAAGGCTCTCCACGCGCTCCACAAGCAGCGGGAGAGGGTGGTGACCACCTTAGGCCGCATGAACGCAAGGAGCCTCAATCCACATGAAGAGGCAGAGCGTAACCAAGCGAAGCACTACCTCAAGGAGCAGCTCCATGACATCAACGGCGCCATCAGTGCGGCGAGGAGCGCCATCGGCATCACCGACGACAAGCTTGGCAAAATGATGCACGGCCCGATGCCATGGGAGCTGGACTACACGAGGCGCCAGGTCGACGATATCGACCACATTTACACGCGCTGGACCAAGGGCCCGCACGGCTACGCCTACGACGAGGCCTCCTTCGACACGCAGACGGGGACGGTGGTGGAGCCGCAGACGGAGATCAAGGACTTCCTCCAGCCCGCTCGCAGGCCGCCGTGCACCAGCCCGAGCAAGAGCGTGGAGGGCTGGGAGAACCGCGGCAAGGTGTTGTGCAGTGAGGCCAGCTCCAGCACCCCAGCCGCCGCCACAGCTGCCACTAAGGCCGACGGCTCCGCTCAGAGCAGGGACGTCAGGCTTTCATCGCCAAGGGCGGCAGCAGCGGCAGGCTGGGGCATAGGGCAGTAGAGAGCAGAATGCACCAGGCCTGGCTCTCCCTTTTTTTCCCCACTCCAGCTCCAGCAGAGGGGGCTCGGCTGCAAGCACTCACCGCATGGGCCAGTGTGGCCATGCATCCATACTAGCCGAGAGCCTTCAGGGAGATGTACCAGGCCGCCCTTTCTTCCTTTTTTTTGCCTCTCTCTGCCGTCTGGGGAGTGGGAGAGGGGGGAGGATGGGGAGCGGAGGTGGGTGGGCTCTCAGCGGCGGGGGGTGCGCCCACAGAGAGGCAGCTCCCTTCCGCCTGCAGCAGTTGACAGGCCGATACCGAGGCAGGGTCTCCCTGCTAGCGAGGCTCGGGGACCACGCCCACCAGAGGGGCGGGCCCCGTCGCCTCAGGCGGCCCCCCCCAAAGCAAAGGGTGGGCTCGCATCCATTTCATTCCCAGGGGTCGGCATGCCTGTTGGTAGGCGAAGTTGACAGACCCCCAAGGGCCTTATCCTTATCCTCCTCCTCCTCCTCCTCCTCCTCCTCCTCCTCCTCCTCCTCTTCCTTCTCCTCCTCTTCCTCCTCCTCCTGCTCCTCCTGCACGAGCAGCCCTCCTCCTGCTCCTCCTCCTCCTCCTCCTGCTCCTCGATTGTCCGAACGAGAGCGCCCTCCTGCAGCGACATGGGGGCCACCGAAGGCGGGCGGCCGCAAGGAGCACCTGACTCGCCGATCGCTCTGCGACCGCCCATCCTGCTTGCCCAGCCGGTGCTGCCAAGATGAGCGCAGAGGCCAGGTCCGAGGCGTCCCCAGGCTTTCCAGGGAGGCACCGACGGCCTCCAGAGAGCACCCCTCGCGAGGCTCTGAGGGCAAGCAGACGTGGGTGAAGCTCTGCGCCAGCTGATGAGGGCAGCTGGATGAGGAGGAGGAGGAGGGCAGAGGAGGAGGAGGAGAATGAGGAGGAGGAGGAGGGGGAGGAGGAGGAGGAGGAGGAGGAGGAGGAAGAGGAGGACCAGAAGTTGAAGGAGGAGGAGGAGGAGGAGGAGAGGAGTTGGATGGGGTCGAGCCCGCAAGCATATTTTGTGCTGCTGGCCTCGGACATCGCCGTTCGTCAGCCATCGCGCTGGTCCTGTTCGGAGGTTGACGTTTTGATGGTTCCACTAAGTATTCCAAGCGTTTGACGCACGCGTTTCCGCGGCGACTTCTGGGTACGTTCGGGAAGTCTGCTGCAGACCTCCGGGGGGCTTCTGGAGCTTTGCGCATCGGCAGGGTTGGACGGTTGAGGCCATGCGGTTGCACAGGAATGCAATGTGGATTGCGCCTATGATGTTGCCGAAACGCTCGCCTTGCACGTGACGGAGCAGGCAGTGAGACGTTTAGTAGGCCATGGCCGTCCTAGTTCGGGCATGCCTCGGGCGAAGAAGAAATATGTGAGGAGGATAAGCAGGAGCAGGAGGAGGAGGAGGGAGATCCTCCTGTTCTTCTTTCCCTTGGACGTTTTTGGTCATCTTTGGATCTCCAGAGGCCTTCAGAGACCTTCGGGGGCTCGTCCTCCCCGTCTGTCTCCTCGTCCTCGTTCTCGCCTCAGCGCCGCGTGCATCTGCAGAAATTGCACCCGTTTCGTGGCGGAAAGCGGCTTCGTTTTCAAAGGGGGCCTTCGCCTGAGGCGTCCTATTGTTCCGTGCCGTGGAATGAGGAGGACGAGGGATGACACGTTCGGAGGGGGAATAGGAGGGCGATGATGATGATGATGATGATGATGATGATGATGATGGTGATGATGATGATGATGATGATGATGCTGATGCTGATGCTGATGCTGATGATGATGATGATGGTTCTGCTGCGGCTGCTGCTGCTGCTGCTGCTGCTGCTGCTGCTGCTGATGATGATGATGATGATGATGATGATGATGATGATGATGATGATGATGATGATGATGATGATGATGATGATGGGGGGGAAGAGGAGGAGGAGGAGGAGGAGGATGAGGATGAGGAGGAGCCTGATGCCCTGATGCGCGGTAAGATCGGAGTGGAGGACGCAGCTTCCGAGGTGCCAACCAGTACCACTGCCCCAAGTGCGACCGCAAGGTCGACGCCCGCAAGAGTCTTCGGCTGGCAAGGCCGCCTCCGTACCTGCACGTTACCGTTGAGCGGTACCACTACGACCTGAAGAAGGCAGTTTCGCGTCTCCTCCCCTCCCCATCCTCGTCCCCTTCCCTTCCCCTGCCTGTCCCCCCTGTACCTCCCATCGCCCTACCCTATTCCTCCCTGCTGTCCCTCACCGCGCTCTACAACTACACGATATGAATATTATAATCCTCTCTCCTCCGAAGACGTCGGTGAGGTGTCCTGGCCTCTTTTGCATGTTCGTTTTACAGGAAGGATGCCACCGAGTTGAGAATTATTAAATGGTTTTCCAATCCGAACGTTTCAGTCCCTTCAGAATGGCGCTCACGCTGCAGTGTGGGCTCCATTTTCCCCTTCCCTATCCTTCCAAATCATGGGCCTTTCGAAGCGCTGGCCTCATTTCATTGTTTCGGTTCTTCCAAATCGTTCTCCTGCTGCATCGTTGGCTTCGGTTCCGCGCTTCCAGTCCTTCCAAATCGTGCTCCCACTGCAGCGCTGGTCTCATTTTCGCAGTTTCGGTCCTTCGAAATCGTGTTCCCGCAGCAGCGGTGATCTCATTTTGCGCTTCTCGTTTTTCAAACCGTCCACTTGAATTTCCCGTCTCGTGTTATTTCTGGTTTTATTCTGACCTTGCTGTGGCCGTGCTGTGACCGTGCTCTTCTATGCCATGCTATGTCGTGCTATACCATGCATCGCGTACTCTCTCGGGGTCATTGCCCTGTTCGACGTCCGACTGTGCGAATTACGCTGCCGAGGAGCCCCACAATATTATGGCTGGAGTGATGATAGCTGAAGTGAAGCATGTAAGAATGATGTTGGTGGCGGTTGCCACCCCCTGCGCACCCCCTATTTTGTTCAGAAGGTGCCACGCCTGCTATGCCCTGGACGACCGTCGTGCATAGCGGCCGCGGTGAGGGACCACCCCCTGCGCACCCCCTATGGTGTCGAGAAAGTGCCACACCTGCTATGCCCTGGACGACCGTCGTGCATAGCGGCCGCGGTGAGGGACCAACCCCTGCGCACCCCCTATGGTGTCGAGAAAGTGCCACACCTGCTATGCCCTGGACGACCGTCTCGAATAGCGGCCGCGCTCGGGGACCACCCCCTGCGCACCCCCTATGGAATCGAGAAAGTGCCACGCCTACTATGCCCTGGACGACCGTCTCGGATAGCGGCCGCGCTCAGGGACCACCCCCTGCGCACCCCCTATGGTGTCGAGAAAGTGCCACGCCTGCTACGGCCTGGACGACCGGCGCGGATAGGGGGACCACCCCGTGCTCACCCACTACGGCGTCGAGAAACTGCCACGCCTGCTACGGCCTGGACGACCGGCGCGGATGGGGGACCACCCCTGCGCACCCCCTATGGTGTCCTGCCATGGGTCGACCACCCCGTGCGCACCCCCTAAACTGCCACTGCTACGCCTCCGGCGCGGATAGGGGGACCACCCCGTGCGCGGGTCGAGAAACACGCCTGCTACCTGGACGACGGATAGGGGGGCACCCCGTGCGCACCCCTATGGTATCGAGAAAGTGCCACGCCTGCTACGCCTGGACGACCGCGCGGATAGACCAAATCTGCCACGCCTGCTACGGCCTGGACGACCGGCGCGGATAGGGGGACCACCCCCTGCGCACCCCCTATGGGCGTCGAGAAAGTGCCACGCCTGCTACGGCCTGGACGACCGGCGCGGATAGGGGGACCACCCCGTGCGCACCCACTATGGCGTCGAGAAACTGCCACGCCTGCTACGGCCTGGACGACCGGCGCGGATAGGGGGACCACCCCCTGCGCACCCCCTATGGTGTCGAGAAACTGCCACGCCTGCTACGGCCTGGACGACCGGCGCGGATAGGGGGACCACCCCGTGCGCACCCACTATGGCGTCGAGAAACTGCCACGCCTGCTACGGCCTGGACGACCGGCGCGGATAGGGGGACCACCCCCTGCGCACCCCCTATGGTATCGAGAAAGTGCCACGCCTGCTACGGCCTGGACGACCGGCGCGGATAGGGGGACCACCCCGTGCGCACCCACTATGGCGTCGAGAAACTGCCACGCCTGCTACGGCCTGGACGACCGGCGCGGATAGGGGGACCACCCCCTGCGCACCACCCCTGCGCACCCTTTATGGTGTCGAGAAAGTGCCACGCCTGCTACGGCCTGGACGACCGGCGCGGATAGGGGGACCACCCCGTGCGCACCCCCTATGGTGTCGAGAAAGTGCCACGCCTGCTATGCCCTGGACGACCGGCGCGGATAGGGGACCACCCCCTGCGCACCCCCTACGGTGTCGAGAAAGTGTGCCCTGCGCGCTAGCCCTGCGTGCTCTGCTGTGCTGAGCTGTGCTGTGCTGTGCCAAGCTGAGCTGTGCTGTGCTGCGCTGAGCTGTGCTGTGTTGTGCCACGCTGAGCTGAGCTGTGCTGTGCTGTGCTGAGCTGAGCTGAGCTGTGCTGAGCTGTACTGAGCAGTGCTGTGCTGTGCTGTGCTGTACTGTGCTGTGCTGTGCTGTGCTGAGCTGTGCTGTGCTGTGCTGAGCTGAGCTGAGCTGTGCTGAGCTATGCTGAGCAGTGCTGTGCTGTGCTGTGCTGAGCTGAGCTGAGCTGTGCTGAGCTGAGCTGAGCTGAGCTGAGCTGTGCTGAGCTGTGCTGAGCTATGCTGAGCAGTGCTGTGCTGTGCTGTGCTTGTGCTGTGCTGAGCTGAGCTGAGCTGTGCTGTGCTGTGCTGTGATGTGCTGTGCTGTGCTGTGCTGTACGAAGAGTGAGGTGTGTGTCGCGGGTGCGGCGCGGCAGGGAAGAAAACCAGAACCCCACTAAGCATGTGGGGAATAATGAGGAGATCCACGCAGTGGTAAGGGATGGGAGTGAGGGGTAGGACGGCAGCCATGGCGCGAGCACACCTAGCTTGCCCTGGACCCCCTCTCTCCTCCTCTTCCTTCCTTCCCGCCCTCCCCATCTCCCCCTTCAATTGTTCACCCTACCGCTCATCGGTGAAGGTACGGTCACATCGGAAAGTAGCAGAACATCTTCCTCCCTCAATTCGAAGAAGAAAAAGCCACATAAACACAAAGTGATGGCGCTCCGCGCGGTTTCCTTGGATCCGCGCCTGCCCCCCCCCCCCCCTGGGCGGCGCCGGAGTCGCCGCCCCTGGCGCGCTCCGCGCGCCAGGGAGGGGGGCACAGTGCGGATCCAAGGAATCCGCGCGGAACGCCAAAAGTGTATGTTTATGGCGTTTGTTTACTCTTCTAGTTGATTTGACCGAATGCGGGTCTCCGAAGTACAAGGCGAAGACATCTGTAACCCAAGCAGTACCTAAGCAATGTGGGCTCAAGCATGTTGTACTCCGACTACGGGTGAATGAGTCCCAATGTCTTGGCCGTGGGGCCATTGTTGGTACGCGTCGAACCGAGCGCAACATCAATCCGAGCTCGCATGAGAAGGGGCATTCTCTCCAGATGGTGTCAGCCTTGTGCATGGAAAAGCTGGCAGCACTGCTGCAAGAAGGGTGTGAGCGCAGGCGCGAGACGCAACTTCTCTCAAGGATTTCCTGAGCGCAATGTCTTCGATAAACTTGAACTCGGTGCTAATGTTGCGTCTATCTCTGCCAGGGGAAGGTATCTCAGCGCACACATGCGCAATCAGCTTATGGCTCGTGGGATGTACTGCTGTTCCCAGACGAAGAGGTTGTACCGATTGGATGAGATGTGCAGTCCGTACCTGAGTTACGAAGGGCGATGGCGGAAAAATCTGTTTCATAATGCAAAGCGCAGAGCTTGGCTCAAGGGATTACCTTTCGACGAGGAAATGATGCTCGAAGTGTCATCTGGACAGTTTCCAACATCATTCGACACTGTCCCTTATCATCGGTTTGGACATCGCCCTCGCGGACCCCATCCTATGATGATGTCGATAGATCGCATTTCAAGCTCCAAAGGCTATGTGCGTGGCAATGTTCGCTTTCTACCGTTCTGGGTGAACACGTGCTTGCAACATTTTTCAGACGAGAAAGCCCTTCGCATTGTGGAGCGACTGTTGGGATTGCGGCCTTTGTTTTTGACGCGTCCAGCTCACCATTGCGACCTTGCACTTGCGAGGCAGAAGATCTCCAGGGTTCGTTTTAATGCAAAATTGCGCGGTATTGATTGCGGTGAGTGCTTTAATTTTTCAGCCGCGGTGCAGCACAACGTATTTGTTGATACGTGCCAGTTCAGTGGTATCCCTCTGGCTTACCATGCAGACGCAGGAAACACCCGCGTGTCCATCGACAGAGTGGACAACAGCAGTGGCTATTTCCTCCGTAACGTACAGGTCATGTCGGTATCGGTGAATAGTTTGAAGAGTGACCTTTCTCCCGGCATGTTGCACACTCTTCTCCGAGCTATCAAGTTTTTGAAGGCGCCCGAGTTTGTCGAGACACATATACCAGGGCACGCCTGCGCAGATAAATGGGTACTCGCGGGAGGAACTAGACGAGATACACCCCGAAGAAGCACTGGGCTTGAAGTTCCACCGCTAGCATATTGTAGTGACCTCTGGCCAGTGCCGCCGATCCGGGGCGCTCCCGGGGCGCTCCCGATGCTGAAGATACAGCTCTCGTTCGAGACATGCTCATAAGATGAACATGTGGAAATCGGTTGCGAAACACCTCCCCCGCTCCCTGCAGAGCGCTCAAGTTCACGGCTCCCGAGCACTGAACGGCTTGGGAAATGGCGTCCCCCCCCCCCTTGCAGAGCGAACTCCCCCCCCCTGCTCCCGAGCACTGAATGGCGTCGGGAATGGCGCCCCCCCCCCCCCTCCCTTGCAGAGCGAACCCCCCCCCGGCTCCCGAGCACTGAGTGACGTCGGGCATGGCGTCTCCCGCCCCCCCCCCCTTGCAATGCATGCGAACTCCCCCCCCTGCTCCCGAGCACTGAATGGCGTCGGGAATGGCGTCCCCCCCCTTGCAGAGCGAACTCCCCCCCCCGGCTCCCGAGCACTGAATGGCGTCGGGAATGTCGTCCCCCCTCCCCCCCTGCAGAGCGAAACCCCCTCTGGCTCCCGAGCACTGAA